CCATATCTTCGTGCATTTCTATGTCTCCTTCATGAAAAGGTTGTTCTTGATCGAGGGTTTTAGTTGATGTTTCAGGCAAAACCGACGTCATAGGGATGTCGGTATCAACAAGCGGCAAGTCGGTATTTGCTTGAGGCATGTCAGTACTTGGAATAAATCGATCAATCCTTTCAGCATCAAAAATTGAATCACTCGGCTCAACGGAGTTATTAGCATCTTGTTCTTTCATCATATGAAAGTTGCGCGAGGTTGAGAGCAACATCAGACTTCGGGCTTCTCGTTGATCTCCGTAATGAGTGCCTTCTCCTTCAATGGTGGGGAACTTCAGGGCATAATGAAAAATTGACACAGCAGCACGAAGTTTATAAAGTGTGTTCGTCCTATTACAGCATTATATTCGTTCTGGACATCCAAGACTTTGAAAGTTTCCATAATGATCTTGGACTTCGGTCCAAAGCCACCAAACTGAATAGGGAGCAATATTTCACCAACAGGGCAAAAAATGCTTCCATTGAAACCTTGAATTTGGTCGTTACACGGCCTAATGTCTGATGGGTCCAAACCCAATTTCTTGAAGGTGCGGAGCATCAAAATGCTTGAGTAAGCTCCCGTGTCGACCAAGATTCGATGAACAGGGATCCCTCCAATCGGGGCGGTTATGATAAGAGCATCGGAATGAGGATGAGCGAATAAATTCGCGTCTTCGATACTAAACGTGATATGACAATTCCGTTTTTTGATGGTATCTCGAAGATCAACATTCATGACTCGTTTCTCGGCATTCTGTGCCTCCCGAGCATAGGCTTTGATTTTCCGTCGAGACGTATCTAACTGTTTGTTATTGGAGTTGACTCGAGGTATACAATGTGAAGAATCTATCGGATCACGTATCTTAGGTTTCCTGTGGTTATCTGTCGAGGTTCCGACATGAGTAGAAAACGTAAAAACCTCCTTATCGTTTGCACGAGCTCTTTTCTGGTTAGCAGGTCGGTTATCCTCATCTTCATCGTCTGAAAGATCCAAAGGCCTTCCTTTCCGGCGGTTATCAAAATTTCAAAACTTTTGAAGTTGGGGTTGTCCGATCAAACGTAAGAGTGCCGACAAAAGACCGAGACACTCATCGGTATTGTGTCCTGGAGACTTATGATACGCACAGTACCGAGTTTTGTCCAACTTATCTTCGGGAGTTCTCACAGGCCTCGGGTCTGGTATAATTCCCTTCCCTTTCAGTTCTTCATATATGGTGGCTGCTCCGGCGGAATAAACGGCATGATAACCTGTCCTGACGTTGTCTGAATACTGATCACGAGCAGGCCGAGACTCTGGAGTATTTTCATATCCTTTAGAAGAGTTCCGAAATTGTGCTTTCCCAAAGTTCTTCTTGTTCTTCTTCTTAGTATCCGGTTCAGCCTTGCTTTCCTTCACCGAGAAGTCGAAACTGGGAACCGACATGGATTCTTCAGCAATAATGAA